CCCTGGCCAGGGATCAAACTTGTGCTGCAGTAGCTACAGATAGCTTCATAGTGATGCACTTTAACCCGTTGCACCACCAGGGAGGGCCCAGATGGATTCTTCATGTCTGTTCTCCAGTGCTTCTCACAAAATCTGGAATATGCCATTTGCCTGGTACATGTTTGTGGAATAAATGAATGATGCAATGATGTTTTTGCCTACATCATCTAGCCAGGCCACTGGAAACCAAGCCCGAGTCCAGGGTTCCTGAGTTCCAGGTCAGGCTCCCTCTGTCTCCTGGTGACTCAGGGTTACCTCTCTTGGCATAAGGGGTTGACTAGCCCTCTTGAGAGGGTTCTTGGCACTGTCCCTGCCCTGCTTCCTGCAGGCCTCTGTTCAGTGCTCATCCTTGCCCTGTTTGGTCTAACTGGCTGGACAGGCTCTGGTGGAGGAGACGGGAAGTCAGGTGGAAGAGCCTCACCTGGGAGGAGGGCTCATAACAGGCCACGGGGCGTGCCTGGGCTCTGGACAGTTCACTCTTCTGTCCAGGAGCAGGCCTAGGACCTGTACTCTGGCAATGTTTATCCAGTGGTTCAGGCTCCCCAGAGGGAAGAAACATCCGAAATGTGTGCATTGCTAGGGCTGCGGCTCTTTCAGGATAAGGGAATCAGAGGCTGGGCCTGGATTCACCATTGAGCTCTTAAGAGCACAGAGGTATGAGTGTATAGTGGCCTTAGATTCTTTTTCTCTCTATTCCTTTTCTTTTTTATTATGGAAATTCACATATCTACATACACAAAAGGAAAAAAAAACCCATAACTCAAGGTGACTTTCTCTTTTACACACCCTTCCCATTCAAGTGTCCCCTTAATTATTTCGAAGCAAATCCCAGATATATTTCATTTCATTTTAAGCTATTTCCTGATTTTTCTTTATTTTATTTTAAAAAAAGACTTATTTATTTATGCGTACAAGAACTTGGGTACAGACCGTAGGTGGGAGGGGTGAGAGGATTCACGAGACAGAGCGGGGAGCAGAACAGGCAAATGAACTGAAGTACACTGCTGAGGGGAGCAGCGGGCAGGACAGGAGAGGCCTGCCACGCCGTGTGGGTCAGCTCCCTGGCCAGGGATTGAACCTTTGCTGCAGTGGCTGTGGACAGCTTCATAGTGCTGTGCTTCAATCCCTTGCTTCACCAGGGAGGGCCCTTCCTGATTTTATTTTAAAGGAATCTATTTTTTTTTAAATTGAGGTGTAAGGTGTACAAACAATGAAGAGCATAAAATACAATAGTTTTATCGAGACAGATTAACTCTGCTCTTGTATATTCCATGCAGCTCTTCAGAATATTTGTTGCACCCCAAAAGGTTCCTGTATCCCCTTTCTAGTCAAGACCCCCCTGCTTCCTAGGTCAGAGCAGGTTGAACTAGCCCCGTCAACCTGCTGCCGGTCTCATGCCATCACTTCCTCCTCAGGACTCCCTGGGTCCACCAGGAAAGCCCTAAGATCTGGGCTTTAGTCCTAGCTCCTCACTCCTCTTCTTTTCCTGGGTGCCAGCCAGTGCTGGATTGCTTGCCCATTCCTTCTCTACGCCCCCTCCATTTGTTCCGGATTACCACTGGAAACTACATTTGCAGACTCCTTTTCTTTTCTTTTTTTTTTTAAAGATTTATTAATTTATGCATAAAAGAACTGGCGTACAGGCCAGAGGTGCAGGGGCGGTGAGAGGATTTACCAGAGACAGAGCGGGGAGCAGGATAGGCAGACTGACTGAAATACTCTGCTGAGGGGAGCAGCGGGCGGGTCAGGAGAGGTCTGCCGTGCCTTATGGTCACCTCCAGGGCGGAGATCGAACACATGCTGAAGTGGCTTAGCTTCTTAGGGCTGTACTTTAACCCGCTGCACCACCAGACTCCTTTTCTATCTAGCTCAGGGTAGGTTCAGATGGGTGGGTGAGAGGAGGGAAGAAGCCAGGCATCTCTCTGCTACATGACATGGCCTGCCGCTGACTTTCGCTTCCTTCCACCTTTCTACAATCCCATGCCCTACCAGGCAGCTCCAACTCCAAGTTTCTGCCAAATTGCTCTGAGGTTTCTGGGGCTATACTGCTACATCCTTGAGATGGCTACTGCTTCCTGCTTTGCTATTTTCTGTCTTGCCTCATTGTCTTTTATTGGGGTCTCAGCTCTTCCATCACCCACATACTGATTCCCTTTGTTAAATGGCTTCCATTTGAAAGACTTACGAGTATTTGCTGACTGGATCATAATTAATAAGTGGTTATTATAATGCTTACCCAAACATCTCCAGGAGAAAGGGGAATCCATGAGTTCTTCTGAGGTAGGACATTGTCTTTTCTTCTTTTGTTCTGTGTTCGTTTCTTTGAAGTTGTACCGATTTCCAGTGGGCAACAGCAGGTCTGTACTCAGAACTCCATATCCTCCAACTTGTGCGGAAATGGGGCTCTTTTGACTTCTTCAGAGGAGATTGCTGAAAGAACCTTCTTTCCATGGTTCCCATGAAAAACCCAACAGGGGATTGGTGGGAATACCTTTTTTCCTCCTCCTGTCCATACTGCGCTTGTAAGTGAAGTTGGTAGAAAGGGCTTGGTAAACACTAGGTGAGGTATAATGGCTGATGATGCCATTTTTTCCAGAGTATTTACATTTTCACTAGGGACAATCTCTCGACCCAGTCTTCCTAACGGGGGTGACTTTGACCCCTACACATAGGGCCACCATGATGAATGAATCTAGAGCTGTTCTTAGAGAAGTTACAGTATGATGCGTGCCTATGTACACACACACACACACACACACACACAAGATAACAATAATACATAACGGTGAACGCTGTGGTCAAGCTCTAAGCAAAGCTCACCGGAAGTGCGGAGGAGAGTGGATGGTTCCATCACCTCCTACTCCCCAGAGAACAAGAGGCAGAAGGTCCTGTTGAACTCATCACCCACATCCATGGCTGGGCTTCTAGTTCCACTTCTCTCTTTGCAGCTTTAGCATATTTTCGGTCATACCGCAGGCTAGAGGAAGGCTGGGGTTAAAGGGGGGAAAGCAGCCTGGGTGGGAAGGCAGGGCTGGGGCTCTAGGGGAGACTGGTGGGCGCTACTAGGCCAGATCCCCACAGAACAAGACTCTACTTCTCTGGAAGTCAGGGCAGGGTCCCTAGCTGGGAGAGGGGGGGCTCAGTTCTCAATCAGGCCCTGCGTGAGCTCCTGGGTGGCTATGAGTAAGTCACGGGGCTTTCGGGCCTCAGGTAAGCCAGGCACCGGATGCCGAGTGGGTTTGGGCAGGGGATGCTCACTGGGTCATCAGGGCCGCCTGCCTGTTACCTCCTGCCCTTTCGTTTTTCAGTTGGGCAAGAGCCCACTGGACCCAGACAGGGCTAACACCACCTATGAGTGTCAGTTTTTTTTTTTTTTTTAAGATTTATTTATTTATGTACACAGAACTGGTATAGGCCAGAGGTGCAGGGGTGGTGAGAGGATTCACCAGAGACAGAGTGGGGAGCAGGACAGACTCACTGAGGAAGTACACTGCTGAGGGGAGCAGCGGGCGGGCCAGGAGAGGTCTGCCATGCCATGTGGGTCAGCTCCGGGGCGGGGATAGAATTCTTGCTGAAGTGGCTTTAGCTTCTTAGTGCTGTGCTTTAACACGCTGCGCCACCAGGGAGGGCCCCAGTTTTTTAATGTAAATTTAGAACATTTTTTAATTGAAGTAACATTGGCTGATAACATATGGAAAATGCCCTCTTCAAAGTCTTACAATTTAAATAAATAGCCAAAATAGAAATCATAGAATAACATGATCCCATTTATGTAAAAAAAATGACATACTTTGTTTTCTTTAAATACATGTCAGTCTATAATCTATAAAAGCCCTTGAAAAGACGTATAGACACACAGATTAAAGTCCCTTCACCCTGACTCTCTGCTGAAGGGTAGGAGTGGGACAAAAGAGGGCTTTTCTTGTTCTGTACCCCTCTGTACTGTTGAGAAATTATACTGCGTGTGACAAAAATGTAGTTCCGCACTTTAAAAGATAGTATTTTTAAATGGAACTATGACAAGAGTGTAGGTCTCAGATTTCTCTTTCCCTCGCACTGTTAGCATGCTCTGCCCTGTGGTCTCTGTCCACACTGCTGCAAGGGTTGGCCCAGTCCAGCCTTCAGCTTCACACGGAGCTCTGGGGACGGAACGTGTGCGTCAGGCTGCCCACCTGCGTGAGGCGTTAGGTACCAGCTAACAGAAGGGGCAGAGGATTGCCTCAGAACCTTGGAGCTCAAGCAGACTGGGAGCTGGATATCCCACTTGTGGGTTGCACAGTCCTCAGTTTAGGGGGGGAATGGAGCCTGCAGGGAGTTGGGGTTCCCTTGGGGTGGGCTCAGTGCAGAGCCAGGGGCATAATCCAGAGCCCTGATTGCTGATGAACCTGGAGACTCTGAATCTTCCTGATTTTTTTTTTTTAATCTTCCTGATTTTTAAGATGTGGGGGGCTGGGGGGCTCAGATTTCCCCATGAAGCAGTGACTGATTTGTCTGGGGAAGCAAATGGCAAAAGCCCTAAATAGATAACTCCAGAGGGGAAGAACTCCAAATCCTGTTCCTTTGTGTTCTCAGAAAACTGGCTTTTCCTTGGGATGGGTCAGTTTCTTCCGTTGGAAAATGAAGAACAGTTAGCCTTTCCCTTCCCGGGGGAGGTGTCCCCTGCAGGGATGGGGAGCAGTGGGTGGATTTTGTAATCCTACTGGGCTCCAGCGTTCCACGAAGCGGCAGAGGGAAAGCCACAGAGGGGTTGCACCCCCAGCCTGGAATACTGGGCTACTGTCTTTCCTGTTCACCCCCTTGTTCGTCCAGCTCGGTGCCACCTTTCCCTTCCGGAGTGGCTCAGGCCGGGGCCTCCCCCTGGCAGCCCCCCCAACCCCCCCAAACTGTCTCTTATCTCTACCATTGGAATCCTTATCTTATGTGACCTCAGTCCTGTTTTCTCCCACAAACCCCCATGGGTGCTCAGGCTTCTCTTTTATCCTCTTGCTGGATTCCATTTGGGGCACAGGCTTTAGGCTCAAAACCCCGCCTCTAGCTGAGTTTCTCCCAGTGGCAGCGGAGTGCCACTCCAGGACAGGGGCACACTTGGCTATGCCCACCCTCTTCGCCCTGGGCACCCGTACCCCACTCTGTCCTTGTAGTGCCAGCTGCTCCAGAGGCTCCCAGGGACCTAGGCTTGTGCCCAAGTGCCCTGCATGGCCTTGTGCTGCCTCTCAGTGCCCACATTCCTGCAGCCCCGTGACCACACAGGGGACATTACACATTCCTGGCCTGGCAGTCAACGGTGTAAAAAAGAACAGAATGTCCCAGCACCCCGCCTAACCCCCAGCTTCACCTGGGCCTCTTCCTGGCCTGGACAAGTTAGGGGTGTTGTTGGGGAGTCAGAGGAGGGAAGAGGATAGAAGGGGAAGGAGAGGCAGAAGGGGTGCTCACCCCCCCCCAGTGCCAGAGGTCCCCTCTTTGGTGGGCAGGGAGGAGCCCAACTTAGACCCCTTCTGTACCTGAGGTGGGTGCGACCTGGGGTACCTCAAGAGGAGACCTAAGGCTGGAGGTTCCTGGTGCTCCTCCCTTGGGATTGCACCTGTCTGGGAGGGGATCCCGTGTTTGGGGGTGGGGGTGCTCCAGCTCCTCCTCTCTCCTTTCCTCAGGTCCTTCCCTCAGTTCTCCATCCGTCCCCCCCTCCCCCGTTCTGCCTCTCTGTTGTCCTGCTTTTCCTACCTGCTTTCACTCACCCTGGCTTGTCCTTTTTTTTCTCTACCCCCATTGCTTGTGATCTGGCCCTCAGCAGCCGTCTGTTTCCCGTCTCCTGGCCTGTCCGCTCCATCTCACTCCCAGGCCCTATTCTTCCAGCCCCGGAGTCCAGGTCACTAGCCAGGAGGAGTCCTCCTCCCAGTGGTGACCTCTCTCCTCAGACTCCTCCTCGGCCCCTCCTCCTGCCCTGCTCACCTTTAATTGAGATGCTAATGAGGCTTCTGCGGCTTCCATCCCTGGCCGGCGGGCGGGCGGGCTCCCTGCACCTGTCAGGTGAGGGGGAGGAGAGGCTGGGCTGCCAGATTCAACTGGAAAGGAACCAGTTCCCAGTCCAGCACAGCCCAGGAGCCGGGAGCGGGAGCGGGAGTGGCCCAGATCTCCCGGACGGCGAGGGAGTCACGACACAGCCCACGGCCAGGGTCAGAGGCTGGAGAGAGCCCCGGCTGGGGTGGGGGGTGGGAGGAAGGCGGGAAGGAAGAGGAAGAGAGGCAGATGGAGGGGAGACCGGCAAGGCAGGCAAGGCAGGAGAGGGCGGAGAGGAGAGACAGAGACTTAGACTATGACATCTTGGAGGAAGAAAACCAAAGACACTGACTAAGCCAGGCAGAAACTGATCTCTTGCCAAGGCAGAAAAGGAGACCTTATCAGAAAAGCAGAGGAGCGGCCACTCCAGGCTAGCCCAGCCCTGGCTCTCCTAAGCTAGCCATGGTCAGCTGGCCCCTGGAAGGTAGAGGGAGGGGCAGCGGGCCAAGGGGGCTCAGGGGAAGGGGGTGGCATGGGCAGGAGCAGATTCTGGGGATCCGGGTGGTGATGGAGAAGGGTGCCCCAGCCTCCCTGACCCGCCCCCTCCACTACTCACCCCAGGGCTCATGAAGGGAGACAAGCGAGAGGAGCAGGGGCTGGGCCCCGAAGCCGAGGCCGCCCGGCAGCCCACGGAGGAGGAGGAGGCCCTGATTGAGTTCTACCGCTCCTACCGAGAGCTCTTCCAGTTCTTCTGCAACAACACCACCATCCATGGCGCCATCCGCCTGGTGTGCTCCCAGCACAACCGCATGAAGACGGCCTTCTGGGCCGTGCTTTGGCTCTGCACCTTCGGCATGATGTACTGGCAGTTCGGCCTGCTCTTCGGAGAATACTTCAGCTACCCCGTCAGCCTCAACATCAACCTCAACTCCGACAAGCTTGTCTTCCCGGCCGTGACTGTCTGCACCCTCAATCCCTACCGGTGAGTGGTCCCTCTGCCTCTCCAGAGCCACCTGGGCACCAACGTGCCCACCTCAGACCCCAGGGTAGGAGGTGGTGCAAGGTGTCCCCCTGAAAAACCAGGCCCAGCTCCCTTTGGGCAAGATAGGGGGCCCAGACTTGAGGGGCTGGCTGCTCTGCCCAGCGGGGGCTTCCTAATGCCCCAGGCTTATCCAGCCTGGTGGTGGACAGGTAGTGTGCTCCTCTTCCCTCCACACCTTCCTCCCAGAGTGGGAGGGTGTGCCCCGGAGTGCCTGGGAGGTGAGATGCTGATGACTCCCAAAAGGGCAGGTGGAAATCCTCCCATTCCCTTCCCTGGAACCAGAGGAAAGCAAAAGTAGCTCCTGCACTTGAGGGAAGAATCAGATGGCCAGGTGAGGTCTCAGCAGGTGCCACGGGCAGTGGGTGGTGGCCTCAGGGGCTGTTTTGGAGAAAGGGAAGTGGGGGTTGACAAAGCAGTCAAGGGGGGGGGTGGAGTTGCAGAGCCAGAAGGAGAAGCAGACAGAACACAAAGCAGGGGACCCCTGCCAGGCTGCCCAGGTCACTTGCCCAGGGGCTTGACTTTTAAGTGCTTGGGTGTGTCCTGAAGTTTTGGGTTTCATCACTGCTCTTTGGCAGTTTGTGATCCAGAAGCCAGAGCAGCGTGGTAACCATGGAGAAGAAAGGGTGTGTTCATGTAACTTTTATGTGTGTTCACTCAGGCACAGAACACCTGCAGTCAGCCAGACACAGTGCTAGGCACTGGCAGTGGGGCCGTTCACCATTCATACCATCGCTGTTGAAGGCCAGGCGCTTTGCTAGGGAATGAAAGATCAAATATAAAGTGAGATGCAAGAGAGGCATATACACACATAACTGCAGCACTCTGAGATAAGCACTGTGTGCGTTATAGTCTGCTCCGAGGAGTGCGAGATTTATGAGTACATAGCATGCGTGATTGGGCGAGTGTGCGTGAGCAAACCTATTGCGTGTTTGCGTGGTTATGGATGGTTGGGATTGGCCGAATATTGGCGGGGGTGGAAGACACATTCCCCATTGTATTCAGAGGTGTGTTGTGGATAACTCAGGGTTTGGGGATTCTGCCTTGCAGAGAAAAGAACTAACCCCCAAAATAACTGATTCATCTCATGTCGTGTACCAGCTAAGGGGCTGTTTACTAAGAAGCTGCTTTCTGCACTGGACCTTGCTAAGCACTCGGCAGGCATCTCCACTAGTTCACACAACAGTCTTGCCAGGCTTTCCCAGTTTTGCACTTGAGGAAACTGAGGCAAGGAGAGATAAGTCACAAGGTCACAGAGATAGTGACTGAACTGTGACTCACCCTGTTTGCCTGATTACACACTCTTCCTCCACTGAATACCCAAGATGTGGAACAGGAAATAAATGAAGCTTCCAATCAGATGTTTATATCTCATCCCGGGCTCTTTGATTCCTCCCCTCATTTCTGTCTCTCAGGTGCTGTGGGCTTTGTTCCTCTCCTCTTCCTCCTGACCTCTGGCTGCACTGCTGAGTGTTTTCCTGGGGGCCTGCAGTGGCAGGTGCTGGCTGGGTGTCCTGCCCAGCTGGGAGGGGAGAGCAGGCAGGTGGGAGGGACCATACGCAGGAGAGCAGGCTCAGTAAATATTTGTGGCTGGAAGATGTGGGTGAGAAATGGAGAGGGCAGGGGTGAATGGGTTGGGACCTGCATAGTTTCTAAGACTTTGCTGGATGGAGGGCCCTGGACAGTCCAGGAAAAAGGCCGAGGAATGGAAACCAGAGCTCCTGCCTCCCAGGGCCCGCATCTAGGGAGACAGGTATCCACACAGAAATCTGCCCTGCTGTGTGAAGGCTGTGGCAGGATTTGGGGGTGGTGGGGAGAGCTCCCAGAAGGGACAGGACCCAAGAGTCACCCCAGCACAGGCGAAAGACCTTGAACACCTATGATGTGCCAGCCTGTGCTGGGTGCTTTATAAACACGCTCCATTAACCCTGACAAGTCCATGGAGATGGGGATTATTATTTCCATTGTACAGAAGAGGAAGCTGAGGTGACATAATTAAAGCAAGGTCACACAGCAAATAATAAAAATTGCAACCACTATAGGTAGTAACACTGACTATTTAATAAGTGCCCAACATTTTCACAAATGACCATAAATATAAGTGAAATTTTCATATTAAGTTGCTTGATCCTCACTGAAGGTCTCTGTGGTGGCTCCAAGTCTCACCCCTATTTTAGAGGTGAGGAAACAGACTAGGAGAGGTTAAGCGACTTGCCCAAGGTTAGCAGCTGAGTCACAAAGCAAGTGTGTTTGATCCCCAAATTCGTTCTTCCCTAAGCTGTCTGAAAGGGCCAGCCAAGCAAAGGGGTGGGGGTGGGGTGCTGGTGGCTTGTGAGGAGGAGCAGCAGGAGGTGGAGGGGGGGTACCTGTCTGAGTGCTGGAGGGAAGGGTCCAGGTCAGGCGACTCCTGTTCAAGGGCAGAGGCAGGGGTGGGTGAACTGGTGAATGCAGCCTGGTGGGTGATGTAACTGTGAGTGTGAGTAACTGCCAGAGACCACCAGCCAGTGCAGGAGGCAGAGGTGAGGTGAGAGGCCCCTGCAGGGGGAGCACAGAAGGGAGGGAATCAGCAGACAGATAGAGGAGCTGTTGAGCTATCTGATGTACAGTCAGGCCAGGGATGCTGACAGGCCCAGCAGGGGGGAGGGAGAAGAAGGAGGAGGTGAAGATGGGCGCCTTAGCGTGTTTGTAACTTCCAGGAAGGGGCCGGGGCTGAAGACCTTCCACACTCAGCAGGGAAGTGCCAAGAACCCATTGTGAAGTTTAGGCCTTTCTTTGTGGGCATCAAAGGCTTTTGCATCCAAGGGAGAGGGCCAGTCATCTCCATACCCACAGAAAACAACCTTAAACTCTTAAACAATGAAGCAGGTCATGGACTCTTCCTTCCTGGCAGAGCAGGGGACCTGGAAACAGGAATGGGGGGAGGAGAGGAGCAAGTCCCCAAAGAGGGGACTCTGAGCTGGGCTGTCAGCTTCCTTCCCAACAGGAAATAGGTTCTGTGGGTGGCCTGGCAAGGACAGAGCCCAGGCTCCTATGCCCCTCGCAGTGATGGACTCCATCTGTCAAGAACCCTTTGCCTCTATGGCACTGCTGTTAGAAAATGCTCCCTGAGGGGCCTCCTTGGTGGCGCAGGGGTTAAAGACATAGTGCAATCAAGCTATTTATCACCAGCCACTGTGTCAGGAGTTTGATTCCAGGCCAGCCGGGCTGGGCAGCTGACCCACATGGCGCAGCAGACTTCTCCACTCCTCCCCCCAGGAGTGTATTTCAGTGTGTCTGCCTGTTCTGCTCCACACTGTCTCTGGTGAATCCTCTCACCCCCTGCTCCTTTGGCCTGTATCCCAGTTCTTGTATACTTAAATAAATAAATTGCTAAAAAAAAAAAAAGGGGGGGTTCTCGCTGGTGGCACCGGGGTTATAAAGCACAGCCCTATGGAAGACATTAGCACGAGTTCTATCCCCAGCCAGGGAGGTGACCCACATGGTGCTGCAGACCTCTCCTGGCCTGCCCACTGCTTCCCTGAGCAGTGCATTTCAGTCCATCTCCCTCTGCCTGTTGCTCCCCACTCCGTCTCTGGTGAATCCTCTCGCCTCCTCCCACACCCCGTCTCTGGTGAATCCTCTCGCCTCCTCCCACACCCCGCACCTTTGGGCTGTACCCCAGTTCTGGTATGCATAAATAAATAAATCTTAAAAAAAAAAAAAAAAGAAAAGGAAGTACTTTCTGAGGTAAAGCTGCAGCTTACCTCATCACGCCTGCCCTCTGGCCTGGCTCTGAAACAACCCGAAACCTATCTCCTTTGCCCAAGGGCCAACTAGGGAGCACCTCTGACACACTAGGTGTGGTGGTTTGCAAAGTGCACGATGACATTTTGATCCTCACACAAGCAGTTCAGGTAAGGATCATAGGGGCTTGCGAAGGTGACTCAGCTCTTCAGGGGAGGAGTGACAATTGAAATCTGGTCTCAGGCTCTGCTTCTGGGTGAGACCACAGAGTCACGTGGTGGTTAAGTAGCGGCTGCGCTATCTCATGTCATCGTCACTTTCTTTTCCGATAACAGTGGTAATCATCATGCACTCGGTGGCAGTTAAGCCGTCCCTATGTGCATTTTTCTCAGTGCTTTTCACATTTTAACACGTTGAATCCTCATAACGATCTTAAATAGCCGGACTACGAATACTCCCACTTTACAGATGGTGAAACAGGCCCAGAGAGGGAGAGCAGCGTCTCTGAGGTAGCTGTGTGAAAAGCGGCAAGCTAGGCCATGACCTGCAAAGTGGATTAGAACTTAGTTCTGGGCCCTCCCTGGTGGCGCAGTGGGTTAGGGTGCAGCACTGCAAGCGAGCCACAGCTGCTTCAGTGACAGTTTGATTCCAGCCCCGGAGGTGACCCACCTGGCGCGGCAGACCTCTCCTGACCCGCCCGCTGCTCCCCTCAGCAGTGTGCTTCGTTGATCTGCCTGTTCTGCTCCCCACTCTGTCTCTGGTGAAGCCTCTCGCCACCCCTGAGCCTCTGGCCTGTACCCCAGTTCTGTGTGCATAAATAAATAAATATTAAAAAAAAAAAGAACTTAGTTCCTGTAACTTTTCCTTGGATGAAAGCATTTCTAGGGCTCTTTACCACGCTGGCGGTCTGTCTTCTGATCAATCATTTGCTTATGAACATCTGTGACTCTTAAAATGTTGCAGTCAGTACAGAATTTCACAAGTGATCTGAGAGATCAGAACTGTTGACTGTCGAGGGCCTGGCTGTGTCCTTGAGGGGGGCTTACGCGCAGGGGCTGACTGGACTCTTTGTGGTGTAGGCTGAGCACATAGGGCCAGGGTTGGGGGTGGGGGCACTCCACTGGGGCTGTGTGTGCACAGGTGGGAGGTGTCTGGGAAGTGGGGGAGACAGGGCTGGGACGGAGGCCCAAGGAAGGGAAGGCAAGGCTTCCAAGGAAGTG